CTGCTAAAAAAAAAAAAAAAAGCCCCGTGGAGAGTTTTCTGAGAAGTAAATTTATGGTAGGAAACATTCTTAGATTTAAAAATATCTCAACACATGTGTATGACAGGGGTCACCTTAAAGTGATCAGACTTGGCCACTTGAAGGTTAAAAGGCATTTTGATTTCTTTACATATTTGATATATCACAAACTAAAAAAAATAATGAAACAAAGTATCAGCTAAGTAAATATAGTTGTTTCATAACAGGTAATAATCTTAAACTGGTATGCAAACCTGAGATTTTCTGTTTACAGTTTACTGGGAATACTGTTAAAAATGCTGCCATGCAGAATAAGTTTCATATGCAATGAAATGCAGAAAACTTTCAAATGTGCATACAGTGCAAGAAGCTACAAAAATGTTTGCTAATGAAAGCACAGGCTCCAAATCCCCTGAACAGCTGTGTCTCCCGTTTCTCAGCATCTCTGCGCATCGCAGTGGACGCGTACATCGTACGTGCAACCACGCAGACATACACTCTTCCTCAGCTCCCTCAGAGGACCTCAGCAAGCTCCAACTGGTTGAAACTTTTTTCCCCTCAAAAAACAGAAAAATTAAACCAAATATGGCAACATTACAACTGGCACAGTAGGTTTGACACATTGGCGTGTCCCTGCACAGAATTCCACATGCACGTAATCAAATTCAATTCCACTTTCCAGCTGCCATTCAAAAACACAACCAAAACCACACGCAGACACACAAATCTGTGATCCATCTGCACTCTGGATGGATGCCAGAATGGGACGGCATGCTCAGACAGGACCAGTGCCCCACGGGTTCTCCAAGTAGTTACGTCTGTGTGTCATTTTTAGACCGGGAAAAAACATTACCTCTTTAAAAAGTCATTAAATGTCCTATACCACCCGCTCAGCTTGTTTTTCTTCAGAAAATCTCACCTGCTTCTTCATATCCGGTGTACAGTATGAGTCATGTTTTACAAAGAAATAAAAACACGTAAATAAGTTATAAAACCACCAAAGAAACGACTTAAATTAAATGTTGTGCCAAAGACATCTGATGCCTCTGTTGTTGGGTCCACTGCTGTCAAGCACAGCTGGGGAGTCTCAGATATGTTCTGCCAGTAAAACAAGAGGATACCTGACAAATGATTTATATCAAAGGTGAAATGTGTATGTTCATCCATGCTGACAGGGTTTTGGTCCATGGGCTCTCCTCTGACAGCTTAATGACTAGCTGTCACATATCACTTCACTCCCGGCTCAAATTTTGAAGGGCGACAGAAGCAAGAGGGAGAGGAGGAGGAGGAGGAAGAAGGAGGAAGAAAAACAATCTGGGAGACAGAACACGCCGAACTACACTCAAACCCTTAAGACACACCGGAGGTTCTCCCTGTTAATCTTCAAGGTACAGAGCAAATGTCTTTCAGCAGCTGCTGGAAACAGTGAAAAAGCTTAGGAGTCACATTTGGCGTGTTACTCTGTGTGTGCATGTGTGTGAGATAAAGAGAGAGAAGAAGGAAGGTGGTCTCTGTGTGCAACCTACAATGTGGGCATTTTAGGTTCTTCAGCTGTGCAGCCTCCAGGCTCTGAGGAGAAAACGCTGATTATAAAGTCAAGGTGGAGACGCTGGTAAAATTGGGAACAGAAAACCACTTGCTGCACATGGCTCATCATAAATACCTATACCAACAACTGCACAGAAAGGGAAAAGCAGGCACACCAATAAAAACACTGTAACTGACAGTTTCAGTATAATTGGTAACTGGGTGAATTTTATAGTTGTCTTCTGCCAGTCAATGAGATCTGTTGCATGAAAATGCAACAGCATTTTTTTTTTCCCTTTGTAGTCTTATCCTTTCTGCTCTGCTTATATAACCTATATAAATCTTTGACTGTCAGATTCATGGAATTGACTTTCACTGCAGATGATCTGAGCGCGGGGCCACGGAGACAATTTCAAGGCGTGTAATGCAAAGCAGGAGGGAAACTGCAAAAGAATGCAAAGATGTGAGTAAGAAAAACAATGAGGGAAGAGACAGAGGAAAACACACAATGAAGATGAGGACAGAAAAAAAAAAGATGACAGCATTGAGAAGAAAAGGAAGAACAGTAGCTGACCATGAGAATAAATGGATAAACAAGTAAAAGGAGGAGGATAACAGAGATGGTTGGGAAGGGTGAGGGGCTCACAGGAAAACTGAGAGAAGCACATTCCTTTTTCCCTCTTATTCCCTTCAAAACAGCAGCTGGGACAGGTGTGCTTTTACTGATGGCAGAAAGTGCACAAGCTGCTGACTACCTCCCAGTGTGCTGTGTGTATGCCTTGTGTGTGTGTGTGTGTGTTTAAATGCTGAGTGTGCACACTGTTTGGCTGCTGACTGCATGTTAGCCAAGACTTTGTTGTGTGTAATTACGGGGGAAACAAAACCCACAGATCAAAATTTGCCCATAACGATAAAAATAGACATCTGAATGCACACATGGTGTTTGCGAAGGAGAGGCTGTGGGAGTGTCTGTGTGAGACACAACATGCTGTAGTTGCTGTATATACAATGTGTATACGCCTATGTTTAAAAGGACATGGGCAAAAGTACAAGAGTCAGCTTGTGTGTGTTGTTTAAGGAGACAGTCTCTGTGACAGGAAACAGAGGGATCCTGTTTGTGAGTCGTACTCATTGTTCAGCTCCTCACCCCCTCCTCATCAACGCTACTACACCACACACACAAACGCGCTCATGTACACAAGATAGAGCTCGTTTTACTACTTGGCTGCCGACCAAAGACGTGTACTCATCAGCGTGAGGTCTGTGTTTTGATTTCCTGCCTCGCACTTAACACGTTGTCTCTTCACAACACAGCCACGGTTTCTAATTAAGGGTGTGTCTGGCCAGTCTGACTCCAACCATTGTTTTCTTCGTCTTATTGATGTCTATCAGTTTTATACAGAAGCATGATTCCAGCTTCCAGTATTGCCTTGTCTTCTCCACGACTCATCATTTACTGTTTCTCAAGATACCCCTTCTTCCCTTTCAGCCTTCATGACTAATTTCTACTCACAAAACTCCGACTTATTGTTCAACTCTGAGTCACTCGTCTGCAGTATCCTGTCACAGGTTTCCTTTAAAATAATGTTTTTATAATTTACCACACAAGTAAAAAGCTCTAACAGCTTGACTTTAGGGATGGCAACGAATGGATTGCTTTAAACAGATCAATTATACATCATCATACACTCAAGATTCCCAGTGGATGAACTTGGTTTATCCTCTGGCATGTTTTGGACACACAAACGGTTTTATATACCTTCTGCATGATGAAG